AAAAAAAAAAAAAAAATCTTTAAAAATAAAAAATAAAAATGAATGTACAAAAAGTTGGGAGCTGACCGTATCACATTTTAGAAAAGCAGTCGATCTTCTAAGTGGGAGAAACCACATTAACTCTTTACATCCTTTCCTGGCCATAAAGGATACTGTTTTCCTAGATACTATTTATAATTTTGCCATCTTCTTCATAGGGGCTTTCACCACCACCCCCTCTACAGACACAAATAGTTCTTATTTTTATGGATTTGATAAACCTTAGTAAAATACTTCTCACAAATATTTGTTTCCTACATTGATGGAGACTGTATTGTCTTTAACAATTGAAACTAAAGTTAGAGTTAGGGAGGGGAGCCTGGCTGGCTCAGTTGGTGGAGCACATGACTCTTGATCTTGGGGTTATGAGTTCTAGCCCCACACTGGGTGTAGAGATTACTTAAAAGTTAAATCTTAAAATGAGTGAGGGAGAAAATTAAAATGTTTAGAAACAAGGGACTAGTTACCAGGTAATAGTGTGGTAAATAATTTAAGTATTGGTTCTGTTGCATAAATGTGCAGTAGGAGAAACCTCATCCTTGACATTGCTGATTAATAGCCATCACTCTTAAATACTGTACTTTCCAGCTTAAGACTGAGAATCGGGGGTGCCTGGATGGCTCAGTCAGTTAAGTGTCTGCCTTTGGCTCGGGTCACGATCTCCGGGTCCTGGGATGGAGGCCCAGTTGGGCTGCCTGCTCAGCGGGGAGTCTGTTTCCTCTCCCTCTGCCCCTGTGGACGCACCGCCCCCCAACGCATGCTCTCTCTCTCAAATAAAATCTTAAAAAAAAAAAAGACTTAGAATTAGTTCTTAGTGTGAGAAGTAGGAAAGACTAGAACAGTGCACATGAAGACTGGGACAAAGTTTCAGGCTAGTTCTTTGCTGCTAGTACTTTGGTAGCTGTAATAGTAGTGTTGACCAAGCAAGTTTAACCTGTAGCTCTTTTACTTAAAACAGAAAACAAAAATTAACCTTAATTCAAGAAATAGTAGGCTTGTCCAGCATACCTATCCATAATGCTTATTTCCTCTAACAGTGTTCGGGTTGATCTCAAAAGACTTAAACTTCAACTCACTGTCTTTAATCGTCTGTGGTTAGTGGTTTAAGAGACAGTTCTGTTATTCAAGTATCAGTGCTGAGTAAATGTGTATTTTTTTTCCACAGTATTTGTTATTTATTTATAAAGAGAAACTATTCCATAGCTCAACAATCATGTATCATAGTTCAGGAACACAGGTCAGTGACAAATTTCCATGGAACTCACCCCAAAGAAATTCTTTACATTCCAAAATCACTTTGCACACTGAAAGATACCAGCCTTTTTCATCTCCTCAAAATCTCTTATAGAATCGTGATTTCTGTAGAAATCTGCATATCCTTCTTTCTTGGTTTGGCCACAGCAAACTTCTAGAAAGTTGCAACCCCCAGGGAATGCTCCAACAATATGAAATTGCAGATGCTTGGCCAGAAGGCCTCCCATCTGAGGTTTTGTCAAAGCCCTGGAAGTCGTGGTAGCTATTCTCCTTAACATCCGACCTCAAACCCAGCGTCCTTCCTAACTCCGGTAAATGTGTATTTTAATTAAGTCTGATTTCACTCTGCAGGGGGAACACACCCGAAACTAGAGGAACAGCTTATGTGGTCTATGAAGATATCTTTGATGCCAAGAATGCATGTGATCACCTTTCAGGATTCAATGTTTGTAACAGATACCTGGTGGTTTTGTACTATAATGCCAACAGGGTAAGTATTAGCCACAGTCCTCATTGCATGGGGAGCCCATGTTAAGAAGTAGTGTACCATGAGGGGAAGAGTATACTGTGAGTTCTTGTCTCGCTAGTGCTATTGGTGAAATTCATTTGACTGCAGATCAGTAACTGTTAACTCTGGTGCTTACCACATTTTAGGCATTTCAGAAGATGGACACAAAAAAGAAGGAAGAGCAGTTGAAGCTTCTCAAGGAGAAATATGGCATCAACACAGATCCACCAAAATAAATGTTCTCTGCATTTTCATTTTAGACTAAAACCCATAAATGATTACCGGCACCCTTTTCTTATTTTTAATTAATGCTGAATGTTGTAATTTCTTATTCGAGATTCAAAAGGACCTGCTTGAAACTTTGATATGTGTTAGAATATGTTATGTGAATAAATTTGTAACTTTTTGTAAAACATTTCAGTGTTTTCTCTTAAACTTTCCCTTCTTATTTGATACCAGAAAACAGATCAGCAGTTGAACCATATGAAGAATTGTTTGGTGGTAGGTGGTCAGAGACCAAGCTTCTTAAGAGCAGGGAGCTTCTTGTATTCTTAATGCCTCTGATGTCCAGTCCAGTGCTTAGCCATCAAGGGAAGTTTTTAGAGTGCTGTCATTTATTGAATGTTAACAACTCAGTGAAGGTAGGTATTTGCAGATAAGGAAACCAAGGCTCATTGTGTTGGTTGAATGAATAAAATGTTTACATAAAAAGTTGATGTAACATCAACCAGTCCTAACCACACTAGTACATTTAAATAACACTTGCCTTACAGTTAACAAAACACCTTTGTCGATATGGGTACCCCATCCTTAAAGAGAAGTCAGTTCTAGAAGTGGCCATTTAGATGACAGCACGTTGTTAAAATTTCAGAGCATGCTTCTTGGGTAGTGGTGTTGGTTGTTACATGTCTAAGATTGTATTATGCAGTCTTTTCCTTTAGTTAGTAAGTGTCTATGAATATCTTGGACCTTAGCTCATAGTATATCTTTGCCATAAATAGAATATTTAATGCTTATTCTTATAATCATACACTCCCATGGCGTGGAAATAGTATGGTTATTACCACATTCATCATAGCTTGGCAGCGTGGAGGAGATAGTTACAATTTTCTTTTTATAGTTTAGGCATGGGCCAAATGGAAAAACATGAACCAATTGTTTTGTATATAACTATAACCCAAAATCAATTTGAAGGGTACAAGCACTTAATCATTTAAATGGACAAAAAGCATCTATTCTACACTTTTAAATGCATTTAGCTTTGATATCTGTACTTTAAGATAATATGCTCTTGGGGTGCCTGGATGGCTCAGTCATTAAACGTCTGCCTTTGGCTCAGGTCATGATCCCAGCGTCCTGGGATCGAGCCCCGCATCGGGCTCCCTGCTCAGCGGGAAGCCTGCTTCTCCCTCTCCCCCTCCCCCTGCTTGTGTTCCCTCTCTCGC